AATTTGTTAGGATGTTCCAAAAAGATGTTTTGAGGATAAGACATTTAAGCAAAAACCCAAATAAAACAAGGGAGCAAGTCAGGTGAATGCTTGGCAGAGGAAGAACCAAGCAGATAGAAGAGCAAGAGCATTGTTCCTGAAATGAGGCTTTCAGTAGCAAGTTCTAGGAAGAGTGAGAAAACAAAAGCTCAACATAGTGCAGTAATGAGAGTAAGGACCTGGAAGTAGAGCTGAAGAAGTAGTAGGAACCAGACAGTAGAGGAATTTGGGTCATGGAAAAGATTTATTCTTTGTTCTTATAGAGATGGGAAGCCATCTGAGGACTGGGAGTGGGGGAGCAGAAGAGTAGTGTTTTGCTTAGCTTTAAGACACCACTTGACTACATTGTAGAGAGCAGTCAGAGAGGATGGCTAGGAAGAACAGAGGCCAACAGACAGGTTTAGTGACTGTGACAGTGGTGCATACCAGACATTGATGGTGGCTGGGAGTCAGGAGAGTTGCGGAGGGTGTGAGAGGTTTCCAACAAGTATGTATCCTAAAGACAGAGACAAGAAGGTTTGCTAATGGATTTGATGCCTGGTGTGAAGGAAACTGAAGAATTGAGGTTGGCACCATTGTTCCATCTAAGCAAATAAATGAATGTGGTACTGTTTACTAAAAAAAGACTAGAGATAAATGGGTTTGTGTCGGAGAGTGATCTAGATCTCTTTCTCAGACATGTAATATTTGAGATGCCTGTTAGACATCTAAGTGTGTGATATGCTGAACAATTGCACACATGATTCAAGTGCTCAGGTAAGGAGAGGAGATTTTTATCAATGGAAGCATCACTGGCTACAGGTGGCAATTAAAGTCATGTGACTAGACAGGTTAGCCAGGGCTTGATTAGAGACAAAGTTGAGAAGAAGTCTCAGGATGGGCACACTCTAGCGATTAGGGATCAGAAAGTTCAAGATAGTCTAGAAAGAAGAAAAAAAAACTTTGGGCTTTATACTGCACTTGTATTTTAAATAAATAATGCCACTAGATACATCACGAATGATTCTTGTTCAAATAACTGAGGGGAAATTTCACCATATTCTTTGGGAAACCTTTCTTTAAGTTCTCAAAAGATATTGATTCATGATCAGTATATTTTGAAGACAGAAATTCTTTGGAATTATTCAATATTCAACATAGAATAAAAGAAACTATTTCATGGCAGAAAAGATGAAAAGGTAAAATCTGGAGCTGAAAATTCTTGACCTAAGTATCATCTAGTTTTATAATTTGAGAAAACTACAAATTCAGGTATTATAGAACCCATCTAAAAAAGAGTAATTTCCATGAATAAACTGTCCATTTATATTGCTACCAAAATATACACATATATGACACACACATATCCAAATTCTAAGTTTCTACAAGATTGTAGTCTTATTCTTCATCACATATAAAATATATTGAACTTGATATGCTTCTTATTGCCCTTCTCAAAGTTAATTTGTCCTTCAAATAACTGCCAGCAAAAAAAGTCTGTTAAATCTTAAAGTTTCAGGTTTAATACCACATAGATTTATGATCTAATATGAAATGTGTTTAAAGGTTGTGAACTTATGGGTTGTGAACTTATGAAAAACAATCTTCTGGTCACATGTGGCCAATCAAAACTAAAGTCAAATTTGAGGGAATTAGCCAGTGTCCTTATGGAAAAAGTAGGGTTTCACATACCATTTTCATCTGGATTTCTGACTTTCTTTAAATATTAAATGGTTCTTAACTTTTTTTTCAGCTAGTCAACTTCTAAAAGATTTTTAGAAATTGTATATAAAGCATTTTAAATTATTTTCAGAATATCTTTGGCTGCCATTATTGATACTCAGAAATATCAGCTCTGGCTCTACTTGAGAAAACTTTTTCCAAGCTTTCAAAGCTTTGCTGTTGCTTCTGTGAGGCATTTTCAGATTGCCTTATGTGTAGGTGATTTTCTTCCTTCTGCACGATCACCTTTCTGAGCCTTTCTGATCTCTTGTGTATCATCAGGAGTGACTCCTTCAACTGATCACAGCAGGTGACATAACTTCATCTCTGAAACACCTACCATAGTTCACACTTTGCACAAAATAGACCCAACAGATTTATTTAATTAAGAAGATTTCAAAGAAGTATTGCTTGAGAAACCAACTATTAAGCAAAATATCACTCCAGTTATTTCCCATATTTCTCAACTGCAACAGGAGTAGTCTTGAGCAATAAAAAAGTTCCCAGGCCTTTCCCCTTCATATCCAATTAAGGACTGAGTTTATATAAGGAAACACAAGTGGTCCTGGTTTGCTTTTCTAATAAGGCCCAGCTGCTGAGACAGTTGATCAGCATCCCTACACTTGTGATAATAAACATGTTTCATCAGCCCACTTCAACAGAACTCATTAAACAGCTTGAGTTTACAGGGAAGCAAGGAATTTGGGTCCTAAGAAGCATAATTCTATATAGATATGGTCAAGCCAAACACAAAATCTCAAACTGCATGCCAATACATGAAATGGCATGGGGAAAGAAGAAAATAATTTCCATAGCATATGCAATGTGCATTACCTTAATTGCTTGAATCTTTCAGGTAAAAATTATTGTTGGCCAGAAAATAGTCCGAAGTTTGGAATCATGCACTCCAGGTGACAAATCCTAGTCTTGCTATTTCTTTGCTATTTGTTGAATCTAAGATAGTATGGGTTGCAAGATACTGTCATTAAGAGGGCTTGGGCTGTAGCTCAGCAGCATAGCACCTCCCTGGCAAGCTCGAGGTCCTGAGTTTGATCCCTGTTACCAAAAAAAAGAGAAAATACTGTCATTAAGAAGGGGAAAATCAACCAGTTATTCTGTGTTGCACACACTGCAAGCCATATCCCAATGTTCTAGATATTAAAACATGATGGAATATGTTTCTTAGAATCACTGAAATATAATATAGTATGTGTCTTAACATGTTTGAAGTGCCTTTTTGACATTCAGTAAACAAATGGTTATAAAAACAATTTCTTCTTGAATGAACATTTCCTTGTCATTTTTTATCAGTCCCAATATTGATCCAGCAGAGCCAAAATCCACTGCAACAGAATGAGCAGTGTCAAGAAGGTTAAGGTCTGGCACTGCATCTACCACGAGGTGCAGACCACAGGGCAGTGGGCTGGTTGAGTTGCGTGTTGTACTGCTCTAGACAAGCAAGTCTTTTACCTACAAACTGCTTCTGTCTCCTCATACTGTATCTGCTTGTAGAGAAGCAGGTGTGTTTTCCAGAGAATTTGTTGGATCTGCCTGCTTCTGAGAAGGCTGCCTTGTGTAATCTGATGAACTTGCAGTAACCAGCAGATTTGCATAACATAATATCTGCCCTTTCTCAGAAGCTGCCTGCTCACTTACACAGCAGATGGTCTGCCCTGAGGATAATGAGGTTTTCAACCCAGCTTGTGACTGGGTAGATAAGTCTGCCTACCACTTGTATCTGTTCATCTGCTTCATTATTACTAAGGGTGGCATTTTGGTGTCTCATCTAATTTTGTTTCTTCTTGTCTCAATATGATCAAAACTCAAAGAGTAGAATGCCATTTGTAGGCTTCTTAAAAGAACAACCAGTATGCTGTGCTAGCCCTTGGTCTAGAATATAAAACAGGTATAAAAGTGGTCTATTCACGATGGCTTAGAAGTCCAGTTCATCATATCATCACCCTCTCACCCTGTTTGCCACAGCTGTGATTACAACAGCTTGCTCCTCCATGTGTTTCTTATCTGCCAAGGGGACACCCCTTTCTTCATTCTTTTCACTCTCCCATAGCTTTCCTCAGCTTCCTCTCATTGGAAGTGTTGTCTGAAGCTTTGTCTGTGGCCTGTGAGGGACCTGGCTGCCTTCCCTTTGCCATCAGCCATGAAGAAAACCCACAGAGGCACCATCCAGGATAACCAGAGAACACCCATCTGAGTTCTATGGGAACAACAAGGATGATACCTAAAGACTCCTTAGTGACCACAGTTGACTCACTGAAAGCCATTGGATAGGAGCACAGGGGACTTTGTCAATGAAACTACAGTACATTTTACTTGGTCACGTTGTCAGAGCTTGGAAAACAAATACCAAATATATAGAGATGTTGAGAGGAAAATTGAGGAGAGCTGGAGCGAACGCTGGCCTGGAGGAACCTACCCAACTCTGTGCTTGCCCTATTTATTCCCATATGTATTCTGACTGAAATACACTGGCCTTTCTTCAGAAAACTTCTGTCAGAATGCTCATTTCCATTTTCCCCACCAAGGCAAAACACACCCATATAGTTCAGAGACCATTTTGTTACTTACTCTATCTGTATTATTTTAGTTTGTTGGGCCATGAGTCATTCCCTATCCAGCAAGACCTGCAGCACACAGCTCTGTGTGTATAACTTGGCCATGGCTGCACTCTGTGACTCTGGCTTTGTACTCTGGTGCTCCTATGACCCTGTGGCACCTGGAAGCAACAAGCAGGATGGGAGCTGGTGGATAAATCTCCCTCTTGTCCCTCTGAGGGCCTGTAATTCTGAAGCCCATTTGCACTGGTCATTTTCACTGTCTCTGTACCTGGGGGAAGCTGTCCAGGTCCTATTTCTGAAGACCGAAGAAGCCTGGACTTCCTTAGGAGGACCAGATGCCATTTGGACCACTGACTTTGAACCACATGGAAAGAGATGATCAACAAATTTATACTGGGTCTTGTTCTGATTATGTTTGCAAAAGAAAGTCAGGAGCCTTAAAGGAAGGATGTTTATGTAACTCTCTAACAGAGATGTTATAATCACCAGTCAAAAAAAGAGGATATAATTAAGAATCAAAAGTGAAAGTCAGTGCATATTGAATATAAATTATAGCTGGGAAAACTATAGTTAGCCTGAAGCTAACTTAGCTTGCAAAATGTCACCAATATTATTGTGGAGATCTTTAGAAGACTGGGGATCCTCCTGAAAAATGACTCCATTACAGTGTGCTGGATAGGCATAACAAGCTGCAGGGATACAATTGTTTAATACAGGCAGCTCATTTTAAAATGCTCCCTTTTCTTCTAATCCTGACAGTCAAACCATCACATAATGCTGAACACAGTGTTTTCCCAACGCAATAACAGATCACACCTTTATAAGGCTTCCAGGAGCTACACGTTGCCAAAGCAAAACTGCAGAAGTAACTAGATGAGGTTCAGATTGATAACGGAATGATTGCGTCCATTACTGCTTCTTTCTGAGTCTAGGGAAGAAGCTATTATGACTCTCCAGAAGCAACTGCTTTCTCTTCATGTTGCATGTGTAAAGGGTTCTCATGCCACTGCTTTTAGTCATAGCCCTGGCTCAGGCACACAGATGAGGTAGAGTTAAAATACAGACAGATCAGTCTGACAGCCAAGCCAGCCAGCACTCAGGAATTTAGCTCACTGACCTCAAATGTCACTTCTCTTCAGGGCACACCCTTGCCTCACTTAGAAAGCATCTCTGTAGGGCTTGAGGGGTGAATTGGGATCATCGAGAAAGAAGAAGAGGGCCTGGTCACTCAGAATGAAGTTTACCGAGTCGATGTACCCTGCCCCTGTGACAGGAACCTTTCCCTATGTCTCAAATCTCGTATATAGGACTCCAACTAGCCATGATAGAAAACAATCTATACATAGGCATATAATAGTTAAGATTCCAGAAAACCAACAGAAGAACAAAATTCTACAAGCAGTTAAAGAAAAGAAACAAATCACATACTAAGGAAAGCCCATCAGAATCACAGCAGACTTCTCAACACAAACCCTCAAGGCAAGAACAGCTTGGAGTGATGTATTCCAAGCCCTAAAGGAAAACAACCTCCAACATAGATTGATGTACCCTGCAAAACTATCTTTCAAAATTGATGGAGAAATAAGATTCTTTCATGACAAAGAGCACCAGAGGAACTTCATGAATACCACACCAGCACTCCAAAAAATTTTAAACCATATCCTAGAAAAAGACAATGAGGATCACAACCACAGGAAGCCCTGCAGAATGAATACATCAGGCACAACAAGAAATTAAGTGTAAAGGGGGAAAATGCAACAAAAAGAAAAAGTCATGACAAGGATAAGTCAATACCTATCAGCAATAACCATCAATGTTAATGGTCTCAATTCACCAATCAAAAGAAATAGACTGGCAGAATGAGTCAAGAAGCAAGATTCAAAAATATGCTGCATACAAAAAACACACTTAATTCAAAATGAAATTCATAGACTGAAAGTTAAAGGGTGGAAAATAATACTCCATGTGACAGGAGCCCAGAAAAAAGCAGGAGTAGCTATCCTCTTGGCAGATCAAGTGGATTTCAAATCAACACTGATTAAGAGAAACAAACAAGGACACTACATCCTTGTAAAGGGAACAATCCAAGAGGAAGAGATGACAGTCATAAATATCTAAGCACCAAACACCAGTGCTCTCAACTATATAAAACAAATACTATCAGACATGAAAAATCATATATGCACTAATACAATAGTAGTGGGGGACCTCAGTGCCCCACTCTCACAAATAGATAGATCAACTAGACAAAAAATAAACAACGAAATACTAGAACTCAAACTTGTGAACAAATGAACTTAGCAGATGTTTACAGAGTATTCCACTCCACGAAATCAGAATACACACTCTTTTCAGCTACAAATGGGTTGTTCTCTAAAATAGACCACATACTCGCTCATAGTACATGTTTAAGTAAGTGCAAAGCAATTGAAGTTATCCCCTGTATATTGTCAGACCATAGTGGGATGAAATTGGAGATCAATAGCAAAAGAAACCGCAAGAATTTCATACATGCATGGAAACTGCACAACATACTTCTGAATAACCAATGGGTCACAGAGGAAATTAAAGGAGAAATCAGACAGCTACTGCAATTAAATGACAATGCCAATACAGCATATTGGAATCTATGGGACACAATGAAAGCAGTCTTATGAGGGAAATTCATAGCAGTGAATACTCACATGAGGAAAACAGAGCAAGCTCAATTACACAACCTGATGCTGAACCTCAAGCTTCTAGAAAAAGAAGAGCAGGACAACCCCAAAGCTCATACAAGGGAGGAAATTATAGAGATAAGAGGAGAAATCAATGCAATGGAGACTAAGAGAATGATACAAAAAAAATGAAGCCAAGAGTTGGTTCTTCGAAAGAATCAACAAAATTGACAAACCCTTAGTCAACCTTATCAAAAAAGGAAAGAAAAGGCCCCAATCCACTCAATTAGGAATGAAAAGGGTGAAATTACAAGGGATCCAGCAGAAATCCAGAGTATCATCAATACCTACTTCCAGAACTTTTACACTAATAAGATGGAAAATACAGAAGACATGGACAGATTCCTACATATGTGTGAATTAGCAAAGTTGAATGAAGATGACCTAAAAATTCTAAAGGACCCAATATCAATCAATGAAATTGAAAATGTAATTAAAAACTTACCAACTAAGAAAAGCCTAGGTCCTGATAGCTTCACTGCTGAATTCTACAAGACATTTAGAGAGGAACTACTGCCACTACTGTTAAAACTCTTCAATAAAATTGAAAGGGAAGCAATACTCCCAAATTCATTCCTGGAAGCTAGCATCACCTTGGTCCCCAAAGCGGAGAAAGACCCAACCAAAAAGGAGAACTATAGGCCAAACTCACTAATGAACATAGATGCAAAAGTCCTTAATAAGATACTGGCAAATAGAATGCAGAAGATCATCAAGAAGATCATATACCCTGACCAAGTGGGATTCATCCCAGGGATGCATG